TTTTTTTTTTTAGTTGAAGTCTCACTCCATCACCCAGGCTGGAGTGCAGTGGCACGCTCATAGCCACCCCAGCTTCAACCTTTTGGGCTCTGACGATCCTTTCATCTCAGCCTTCCAAGTAACCAGAACTACAGGTGCGTGTTACCATGCCCAGCTAATTTTTGATCTCCAAGTTACCTGGGCTGGTCTTGAACCCGTGGGATCAGGCAATCCACTGCCTTGGCCTACCAAACTGCTGAGATACCTTGGCCTCCCAAAGTGCTGAGATTACAGGCTGAGCCACTGAGCCCAACCTTTTTTTTTTTTTTTTAAATACAGTTTATTTAACCCAATTTGTCACAAATATAATTTCAGTATAAAGGTAATCAGTGTAAAATTATTAATCAGTTAAGTTAGATTTTAATTTTTTTTTTAGAAGTAGGTATTTAAAATCTAGTGTGTATTTTTCATTTGCAGCATGTCTCAGTTCTTACGAGACTTTAAGTGCTCATGTGGCTAGTGGCCGTCTTATTGCTCACTAGAGTCTTCGCTCCCTCTCTCTTCCTCTCTTTCTCTCTCTTTCTCTATCTCTCTCTCTTTCTCTCTGTCTCTGTTTCAATAACATTGTCGGGTACAAATAGTCTTTGATCATTTGAATGCGTTGGATAGTAGCAGTGGAGTCTGTGCTTTAAATGTGCCCTCCACCCCCACCTGTGCACATTGTACCCATAGGTGATTTTTTCATCTTGGGCATGTCTTTTCTACTATATTATTCAAAATCTAAAACAATGCCAGTACCACTAATGATAATATGATTTATGAAAAGGACTTATTTGGAAGATTCAGAAAAATATCTCTGAAAATCACTCATTATAAAACAAACCAAAAAAAAGTTTGGGAAATTGAGAGAGTACTTTATAGAATACAAAATTATATAGACTCTGTGAGATGGGATAGACTGGACTGAGATAAAAAGCAATATATTTTTTACTATTGACTGACATTTGGCAAATATAGGATGGAGAATATAAATACTGGTACAATTAGAAGCAGAATATGTCTTCCAAAGCACTAAGAAAAAAAAAACCACACAATCACCAAGTCTACAATCAAAAGTTAGAAAACCAGGTAAGGCATTTAAAAAACAAAATAAAACACAAAGTATAGAACAAAGTAATACAAGTGAAGCCAGTTCATTCTGTTATAAACCATAAATAGAAATGGGTTAAACAGCCTTGTTAAAGACATAAACCTTCTTTCAGATTGGGACAATCCAAGTCAGAATTTACCTTTTTTATTCAGTTTATGTATGTTAGACTTATAACCACTCAACAATTGTTAGAAGTAGCTGTAAATGATGGAATCAAGAAAGTGAGAAAGCAACCTACAGGATAGGAGAAAATATTTGCAAATCATATGTCTGATTAAAAAACTTGATTCACCCGGCCGTGGTGGCTCATGCCGATAATCTCAGGACTTTGGGAGGCAGAGGTGAGAGGATTGCCTGGGTCCATGGATTCAAGACCAACTGGGACAACATGGTGAGACTTCGTTTCTACAATAAATAAAAAATAATTAGCTGGGTGTGGTGTGCCACCACACCTGTAGTTTCAGCTACTTGGAGGCTGAAGTGGAAGGTTCGCCTGAGCCCAGCAGATCAAGGCTGCTCTGGCCGTGAGCATGCCACTGCACTCCAGCCTGGGTGACAGAGTGTGACTCTGACTAAAAAAAACACAACAAAAAAAATTTGTATTCAGAATAAAGAACTATTGCAACTCAACAATAAAAAGACAAATAACCTAATTTTAAAATGGGCAAACGATCTGAATAGATATCTCTCCAAAGAAGATACAGAAATGGTCAGGCACCTGAGAACTAATGATAAATAATCATTATTATTAATCATTATTAGTAATCAATTTTTTTTATTTTTTTGAGACAGGGTCTGTCACCCAGGCTAGATTGCAGTGGTGCAATCATAGCTCACTGTAACCTCCTAGTCTGGGCTCAAGCAGTCCTCTCAATCTTCCTGTCTTAGCTTTCTGAGTAGCTGGGACTACAGAAATACTCCACTACACCCAGCTAATTTTTTCATTTTTAAATTTTTTGTAGAGATGGTGTGCCTGTGTTGCTCACGCTGTTCTCAAACTCCTGACCTCAAATGATCTTCCCACCTTGGCCTCCCAGAGTGTTGGGATTATAGGGATGAGCTGCTGAACCCCTCTTTGATTTTCCTTAGTGACTGATGATAGATGAGGTAAATGAAAATGAAAAATCACAATGAGATAGCACCTCATACCCACTAGGATAACGATAGTAAAACAGACAAACATAATAAGTGTTGGTGAAGATTTAGTGAAATGGAAATACTCATACATTGGTAGTGAGAAGGTAAATGTTGCAGCTGCTTTCCAGTTGGACAGTTTCCCGAAATGTGAACAGTAGAGTTTCCGTGTGACCTAGTAGTTCTACTCCTAAATTATACCCAAGAAACGGAAAGCATATGTTCACACCCATACTTGCTTACAGTGTTAATGGCAGCATTATTCTGATAACCAAAATGGAAACAGCACAAATGTCCATAAACTGATGACTGTATAAATACAATGTGATATATCTATACAATGGAATATTATTCAGCAAGAAAAATGAATGAAGTACTAACATATACTACAACATGGATGAACTTTGAAAATACTATGCTAGCTAGGTACGGTGACTCCAGTCTGTAATCAAAGCACTTTGGGAGACTGAGGTGAGAGGATTGCCTGAGCACACGGGTTTGAGACCAGCCTGGGAAACATGGTGAGACCTCATCTCTACAATAAATTAAAAAATTAGCTGGGCATGATAGGGCATGCCTATAGTTCCAGCTACTTGGAAGACTGAGGCGAAAGGATTGCCAGAGTCCAGCAGGTTCACGCTGGGTGGCTGTGAGCGTGCCACTGCACTCCAGCCTGGGCGACGGAGTGAGACTCCAACTAAAAAAAAAATACTATGCTAAGTGAAAGAAACTAGTCACAAAAGATCACTTATTGTATGATTCCATTTTTGTGCTATGTCCAGAATAGGCAAGTCTATATGTATATAGAGAGAGTAGATTAGTGGTCGCTGGGAAAGGGGGTAGAATGGGGAGTAATAGATAGTGGCTATGGAGTTTCCTTTAGGGGAAATGAATATACTCTAAAATTAGATTGTGATGATGATTGTAGGACTCTATGAGTACAATGAGTTGTACACTTTAAATGGGTGAATTGTATGGTGTGGTAAGCTGAATAACGGCCCCCAAAGATACCCAGCTCCTAATATCTGGCACCTATGAATGTTATCTTACATAGTAAAAGGGACTGAACAGTTGTGATTAAGTTAAGGATCTTGAGATAGTGGGATTTTTTTCCTGTTTTATTTAGGTAGGCCCTAAGTGTAATCACAAGTGTTT